TAGCAAACAAACAAAGGCACAATGTAGTTCAACAATTCAAAAATCTCTCTATACAGTCCAGAGTAGGTGATTGGACAGATTAGTGTACTGTGTACCACACTGGAGATTTTAGGATTATAGAATAACTTGGTGTGTTATATACCATCTTGATTTTTAAATCACCTATTGCTTTCTCTTTATAGGATACTTATGTCATTCCCTTGCTGACTTCTGTGCTCCGTGATGAATCTCAGTGGGAGAGACCTCATGAATTCTACCCTGAACACTTTCTCAACACTGAAGGAAAATTTGTAAAAAGAAATGCATTCATGCCTTTCTCTGCAGGTAGCAGCTTATTTTCAATTATATTAAAATGATATTCAGCTTTTCTCCTTGATTAAAATCTCCCAAAATGGCTAGTAGGAGCAAAAGTTAATCAGCAATAGTTTTTAGCTATTATTTTTTCCAGGTCCCTCCTTATTTATAAATTTCCTATGAGAAAGATGATAATAATAGTAATAACAATAATTTATTAAATGTATATGCTCACAGTTTAGAAAGAAATATAGCCACAGGTATTAAAGGGTCCAGCTGTACATGTGAACATCTCTACTTTCAATTTCATTGGCAGGGCATCCTAAGATTTTTTTTAAAAAATAAATAATCACTCTGGGAAACAGAAATATTTACACCTGCTGTTTCAGCACTGTAATGGGATCCATGATATACTTCAGTTTTGCAATCCAGTTATAGGGGTATTTTCAGTGGCAGTACATCAGTCTTTCAAAATTTGCATTATTCTTTGATATCATTAGTTAGCATGATCTTGCTAGATTCTAACTTCTCTCCTTGGGTTGGATTTGTTATTCTAATTTTTACAACTCTCAAACCAATATGTCATAAGAAGGTGAAATAAAATACTGTTAGCAAAACTAATAAACCCAAATCCTCTGTTTTCTACTCCCTGTTACAGGTCAGAGATTATGTCCAGGTGAGACCCTTGGCAAAACCGAAATATTCATGTTCTTTACTAGTCTTTTGCAAAGATTCATCCTTCAGCCTGCTCCTGGATTATCAAAAGAAGACCTGGACATGAGCCGTGCAGTTGGGTTTACAACACCTCCCAAGACTTCAATATTATGTGCTCTACCACGTTTCTAAAAATTACAGATATTCAGAGACTTATAAGCAGGGGGTATTCAGCTGATTCAGACTGGTCAGGTGAACCGGATGTTAAATTTACATGTTAAATTTTTGCTGAACCGGTAGTTGAACCAACCATCTGGCTCTATCGCCCCTCCCCTCCCAGAAGTCTCCATGCGGCCTGTTTTGGATGCAGGTAAGTGCAGGGTCTGTACGGAGGCTCTGGGAGGGTGAAAAACGGGCCTTCCGGAAGTCCAGAAACAGGCCTGTTTCCAGCCTCCAGAGGACCTCCAGAGGACCTCCAGAGCCCGGGGGAGGCTGTTTTCGCCTTCCCGGAGGCTCGAGGGAAGCCTCCGGAGCCTGAAGAGGGTGAAAAACAAGCCTCCTGGAAATTCTTATAGGCCACACCTACCATGGCCACACCTACCATGGCCACGCCCACCCAGCAACCGGGCAGAGAACTGCTTATAAGTCTGAATTGCACAGCTGTATATATATCTCTTTCTGCAACATCTAATTTTAGACATGGTTTTTTGGTGGCCTATATACATGCCATCTCTTAAATGTTAAGAATACCACATATCCGAGTCCCATAAGATCAGTAGTAGACAAGAATATATCAAAATTCAAAAATTATTTTTAATTGGAATGTGTGATCATCAATTTCCAAGAAGAAAAGCCAGTTCCCAAATGAGTAATACTATCAGTAGCAGACAAAGAATACATCAGAATTGGCCCTTAGTTATTATATTAGTCACTACATAGGGAAAACACTACACACTACACAGGGACACTATACAGGGACAATAAAAAACTGCCCTCTTGTTTCTGTATAATTTATACTTGTCCTTAAAGCATTAAAAACCCTGTTTGCAGCTAAATCTATGTGTTCAGATGAAAACCAGTGAAGATCTGATTTGAACAAAGCATTGAAGTCCCGACTGTATAGACAGTATACAATAAAAAGTATTTTACTTTTTATTGGGTAAGGTATGAACATCTATTTCCAAGAAGAAAAACTGGTTCCCAAGTGGTCAAGAAACTTGGACTCATTCCCAACATTTATGAAATATATTGTATATTATGACTACATTTTCTATATTTTGTATACCATCTACCAAGGTACATATATCCATATGTATCCCAAGGTACACGTAGGTTGAGAAATCCTTGAGAAAAAGAGAAGCTTATAACTACTTGACAAATATTTCAGAGAAGAAAAATATTTAATTCTATGAAGACAAGCTGGAAGGACTGATTTAAACTTAATGAGTCAATTGAAATTAGGATGGATTTTTAACAGTTTGATATTTGTAATTGAGTCTTAATCTAAAGTTTGTATTTTTTTCCCTTTATACATAATGCTTCAATAATTCCTAAAGTTTTTAAAATATTATTAAACGTGTATTTGAAAGTATCTATGTTAAGAGAAAGTTGAAGAAAAAGATGCATTAGTTTGAGGAAAAGTTTAGTTTTAAAAAGGATGAATACAAGAAGAAAATATTACTGTGTGAGGGTAATTTGGAGGTAGTGATCTAAATTAATGAGTTAATTGGAGCTTGTTAGAATTTTATGGGTTGGAAAGTGTACCTTAAAGTATGTATATTAAGAGGAAGTTTTTTAAAAAAAGATGCATTTAGAGTGTCTTGATTTTAGAAAAGCTCTTAAAGAAAAGTTTAGTGTTTTAAAATTGGATGGAAATTTTTTTCCCTTTTAAGGTTAAAGAATCTGAAAGAATACAGTGAACTTTGTTAATATAAATGGTGATGGTTTGTAAAGATTATTAAGTGCAAATAGAAATACATTATTATTTCCACAGCAAGGAGGATAAAGTAGAAATGGTTAAATTGATTGTTTTATTCAGAGAAGAATATAATTATGTTTTTATTTGGAAATCACTTCTGGATTTTGTGCTTGTAATGAGAAAAAATGAAATGCTGACTTTGGTCTTGCCAATTAGATAGATTTATTGTTGTAGGGATGGTTTGTTATGTACTAATGTATAAAAGTAAAAAAGTTGAGGCTGTAATGTTGTTATCTTATACTGTGCGAAAACAAGTAGGAAGTCAATGCTTCCCTCCACTTTCTTCCCTTCTTGCACCTCATAGTTTTCTTCCTCCTCTCTTTTTCCTTCCTATAATTACCTTTTTCCTGAGTAAGTTGCCCAGGGCGTCAGTTCTTGAATGATCATTGACACACTGGGAAAGATTATAGAAGGTTTTTGTCTTTGAACCAAATATAATGGTCTTATGCTATCTTAAAACCTTTCTGGTTTGTTAGTCACGAGGGTTTCATGGATGAGAGCCCACTTCCCCAGATCATCTAGAAACTTTAAATGAGCAAGAACACGGTAGCACACATAGGTCCTGAAGTTCTTTCTTGTTACATTACGGCTGTGTGAGTTTTTTTCTGGAGGCAATTCAAGATGCTGATTGCCACTTTTAATAGCGATAGCATTTAGCAATAGACTTATATACCGCTTTACAGTGCTTCACAGCCCTCTCTAAATGGTTTACAGAGTCAGCATATTTCCCCCAACAATCTGGGTCCTCATTTTACCAACCTTGGAAGGATGGAAGACTGAGTTAACCTTGAGCCTGGTGAGATTTGAACTGCCAAATTACAGGCAGCTGGCAGTCAGCAGAAGTAGCCTGCAGTACTGCATTCTAACCACTGTGCCACCGAGGAGCAACTAGTACTGCACTCTAACCACTGTGCCACCTAGATGGCATAGAACCAGGTTATTTGAGGGAACTACCTCTTCCTGGGTTGTATATAAATCCAGCTGGATTGTATCGAGGGGTTCATTCTAGGTTCACTCTATTAAACATTGTCTTCTGCTAAGACCTCGTAAGTAAACCTTTTCCTGCCTGAAATATGGAGGGCCTATACCTCTCTTCTTTCCATAAGGCCTTGAAGGCCTAGCTTTTCTCGAGATATATAGGTCAGAGAAGCCAAACCAAGCCCCTCCCCCCACCCCACCCCCTACACACCAAAAAAAAAAAAAATCCTCCTCTAACATGTACAAGAGCCATGGTGGCACTTTGGTTAGAATGCAATACTGCAGGTTCACTCCAAGAGTTCAATTCTGAGTGGCTCAAGGTTGACTTAGCCTTCCATCCTTCTGAGGTGGGTAAAATGAGGAGCCAGTTTGTGGGGCAATATACTAACTATGTAAACTACTTAGAGAGGGCTGTAAAGCACCATGAAGCAGTATATAAGTCTAAGTGCTCTTGCTCCTGCTATAGAGATCTGCTATTCACAGACAGCTGGTTAAAAGAAGGAGGTATTAATATTATTGATGAGCAAACAATAGATATTTCTAAGCTGTTCTAGTTTTATAATTAATTTCTTCAAAAGAAACCACTTGTGCAATCATCCACAGATAAAAGTAGCTATTTTTCAAATATGACTCCTATCTTTCTTCTTTTGCATTTTCAGCTTCTAAATATACAAATTACACATTTTACAATCTTTTCCTAGACAAAACCTTTTTACAGCAATGGTTGAGAGGAAAGAATTTGTCTAGTGTTGTTAAACGTTTAGTTAGTCAGTAATGGAGTCATATGCAACAACAGAGCAGTGATCTTTGCTCAGCCTTGGCTTCTCTTTTAATGTGTTATGTTCATGATTAAGCTCCTGATGTTTCTAATTAAAGTATTAGCCTCTTGGAGGCATTACGTATGTATGTCCTTCTGTTTAATGCTTGTCCACACATGTTTTTTCTAGTTCTTAAGTAGGATTGTAATCATAACCAATGCAACGATTAACCATTATGAATGGGAGTGTTCTGTTCAATGAGAAAGGATCCTGAAGTCCAGGAGTACTTTTCCACTAATTAGATTTCAGAACTCTAATCATTCATGATTTTAAGTAAAGAAAACTAAAGAAGAAAAACTGGAAGAAGAGAGAGGGGAACTATGACTGCTACTATAATTATAGCAATATCCAATCCCAGGCCAAGCACACAAAGATACACTGAGAGGCTGTTGCAAAATTAACTGATAAGTTTTGTGAAGTAAAGAAGCAAACAACAAAGGAAATGTGAGCAAAATGTGTGTGCATGTGTGCACGCTCTCAGACACACACACACACACACACACACACACACACACACACACACACACACTGTAGAGAAACAAGTCCCCTAAAGTTCAGCAGGCAATAAGAATTCCAATTTGGAACAGCAGACATAACAGTGGAATTGCAAAAGTCCAAACCTTGCAAAAGGGCCATCAGCTGGCAGATCTAGAATAAAAGTCATGAGGTTTCAAACCAGGAATGAAGGTGCACTGAATGGATTAGTGAAGCCAGTCATCCACAGAAAGGTTTGAGCTTGCTGTTTCTTGATAGTCAATAATTCTTTCTTAAATAAAAGAGGAGCCCTGCAGAATGCTGTTAAGTTTGGAGAATAAGGAGACCAGACATCTGACCAGTGACTTCAACTCTTTAATAATAACAGGAATCCGAATGGAACAGAGCAATGCTATGGGCAGCAGTAACCCTTTTATAGGGTTAGCTGCTGCCTTATTAACCAATGAAAATGCGCAACAGGTTCCAACTACTGACCAATAAGGACAGTCCCAAAAGTGACCAATCAGGGACCGGTTCTGGCCCAATCCCAAGTTGTTGTATAAGGACCAATCAGGTGTGCAGGTTTTCAACCCCTAATTTGCATTTAGGTTATTCACTTTTATTGATTCACAACACCCCTCCCCCTTGGGTTCCGTTTGAGGGGAGCTGTGATAAAATCCTCAAGATAGGCAGGCCGTTTGGTCTGCCTGGATGATTTCCGAGGCTCCACCGGGTTTTGTCCAACGTCCGGTTCCGGTGGAGCGTTTGGATGACCATTGTTAAGTTCTAGTTCGCTGCACGGCGATTCCGTGCTGCATTCACTGTGGATGTCTCTGCTGCTGCGAGTTTCTTCGGGGTTTTGCAGTTCGTTTCCCCCTGTATTAAAGTTCCCTGAAGACATCAACTCTCTCCCCGCTTCACGTTCCGGTGCTTCGCTGGACTGTAGGCCTCCCGTTGACCCGCTATTAGTTGTATCAAAGTCAATTCCCTCGATACTCCCTCCCCCTTGAGTTGGTGAACCGGGGAAGTCATGGCCGCTGGGTGGTAATCTCG